GGATGAGAGTGAGGTCTCGGAGCATCTCAGTGCCAGCTCGGCTCCTGCCATCCAGCAGGACGGCATTGCCAGCATGCAGCCACCATCTGAAGCCCCCGTGGTGAACACAGTCAGCGCAGCTTATTCTGAGGATTTTGAAAACTCTCCAAGTCTGACGGCATCTGAGCCAACCGCCCGTTCCAAGGAGTCTCTTGACAGAACACTGGACGCTCTGTCTGAATCCTCTTCAAGTGTGAAGACAGACCTTCCACAAACAGCCGAGGCTAGGAAAAAGTCAGGCAGGCACGTGACAAGGGTGCTTGTGAAGGACACAGCTGTGCAGACGCCGGACCCCACCTTCACCTATGAGTGGACCAAAGGTAAGCACTGGGGCCCGCGGGGGCCGGGGCAGCCGGGACAGGAGCTCAACGTGTGGTTTACAGCATCCTGGGAGACACGTGGGAGAGCTCAGGTTCCCGAGATCTGGGCTCTTGTTATTAATCACCTGGAGGGGTTGGCCAGGCAAGGTGGCTCACACCTGTAATCCCAGCACTTTGGGAGGCCGAGGCAGGAGGATCACCTGAGGTCAGGAGTTCAAGATCAGTCTGGCCAACATGGGGAAACCTCATGTCTACTAAAAATACAAAAATGAGCTGGCTGTCGTGGTGTGTTCCTGTCATCCCAGCTACTCAGGAAGCTGAGGCATGAGAAGAACCCGGGAGGCAGAGGTTGCACTGAGCTGAGATGATGCCACTGCACTCCAGCCTGGGTGATAGAATGAGACTCTGTCTCAAAAAAAAAAAAAAAAAATCACCCAGGGACCTTGGCTCACCATTTCCTCTTCCACGGACGAGGGGCTGCTGCCCTGGTGTGTCCCGATGTCTTCCTAGCCCTGAAGCGTTCAGATGGATCAGAATCAAGGACTAGGGTAGTAGCTCCCACAGGATGATTCTGTCACGGGGGCCTCCAGCAGGGTCTGGAGACATTATTGGTTGTGACAGCTCGGGGTGGGGAATGCTATTGGCATCTGCTGGGCGGAGGCCAGGGGTGCTATTCCACACCCTGCAGTGCACAGGATGCCTTTGTCCTGGAGAATGAACACCCTGGGTGACTTTCCAGACATTTGTCTCTCTCTCTCACTCTGTTTTTAGAGATGGGGTCTTGCTGTGTTGCCCAAGCTGGAGTGCTGTAACCTAATCACAGCTCATTGCAGCCTCAACCTCCCCAGGCTCAGGTGATCCTACCTCAGCCTCCCGAGTAGTTAGGATTACAAGCATGCACCCCTATGCCTGGCTAATTTTTGTATTTTTTTGTAGAGACAAGGTCTTGCCATATTGCCCAGGCTGGTCTCAAACTCCTGGGCTCAAGCAATCTGTCAGCCTCAGCCTCCCAAAGTATTGGGATAACAGGCATGAGCCACTGTGCCCGGCCCTGTATCTTTTTTTTTTTTTTTTTTGAGATGGAGTCTTGCTCTCTTGCCCAGGCTGGAATGCAGTGGTGCAATCTCGGCTCACTGCAACCTCCGCCTCCCAGGTTCAAGCGATTCTCCTGCCTCAGCCTCCTGAATAGCTGGGATTACAGGTATGCGCCACCGTGCCCAGCTAATTTTTATATTTTTAGTAGAGATGGGGTTTCACCGTGCTGGCCAGGCTCGTCTTGAGTTCCTGACCTCGTGATCTGCCTGCCTCAGCCTCTCAAAGTGCTGGGATTACAGGTGTGAGCCACCACACTCAGCCCCCTGTATCATTTTAAAATGTTTTTTGTAGAGACAGGGTCTCCCTATGTTCCCCAGTCTGGTCTTGAACTCCTGGGGTCAAGTGATCCTTCCACCTGCCCATGTTGACCCCGCAAAGTGCTGAGGCTACAGGTGTGAGCCACCATGCCTGGCCTTCAGGCATTTCTTTCATTCCCGGCTTCAGTCTCGGCTCTTGCTGGTAGAAAGGCCCCATTCTTTTAAACATTCCCATGTTATTATTTTATTTATTTTATTTTATTTTATGAGATGGGGCCTTGCTCTGTTGCCCAGGCTGGAGCGCAGTGGTGCACACTTGGCCCACAGCCTCCTCCCCCTCCCGGGTTTCAGCAATTCTCCCACCTCAGCCTCCCCAGTAGCTGGGACTAGAGGTGCCTGGCTAATAAACATTCCCTTTCAATCTCTCTTTTCTCATCCATATGGCTCTTGACAAAGTAGACTGGATGTGAAAAATGATGTAATTCCCAGCCTGGCCAATGTGGTGAAACCCCGTCTCTTCTAAAAATACAAAAATTAACCGGGTGTGGCAGCGCACATCTGTAGTCCCAGCTACTCGGGGGGCCGAGGCATAAGAATCGCTTGAAACCAGGAGGTGGAGGTTGCAGTGAGCCAAGATCGTGCCATTACACTCCAGCCTGGGCGACAGAGTAAGACTGTCTCAAAAAAAAAAAAAAGAAAAGAAAAGTGACGTAATTCTCACTGGATCTATTTGTTTTGATTTGGGGGTTTCACCGAACATCAGCCTGACCGACCCCTCCCCCGAGGAGAGGGGTGACTGGTGTCTGTTTCTCAGGAAGGAAAGTCAGTCACACTGACTGAGTAAAATCATCTGGAGGTGTTAAATGGCATTTTCAACCTGGGATCTGGGCTCAGAATTGTTTGTGTCTGTCTGCGTTTCTGTCCGTATTTTTGGCAATTTAGGGCTGCTTTCATGAAACACTGGCGAGGCTGTTCTCCTAGACTAGGCCTGACAGGGAAAGGAGAGAGAAAAAACAGCAGCCATAAGCACGCTGGCCTCAGAGCCCAGGGGACACACAAAATCCCAAGGTCAACAGTGACCCTTAGAAGAAAGGCTGGGAAAGCACATTTGCCACTGCTCTCGACTCCAGCCACCGTGAGCCGGAGCCACCACTGCACCCAGCTGGGATGACTGTGCCTTGAGCCAAGAAAACCTAACAGAAAAATGGAGGCAGCCGTGGGAAATATTTGAAAGGGGAAGAGGGTAAAAAAAGCAAAGAAGGGCTGGGCACGGTGGCTCACGCCTGTGATCCCAGCACTTTTGGAGGCTGAGGCAGGAGGATTGCTTGAGCCCAGGAGTTCAAGACCAGCCTGGGCAACATAGGGAGACCCTGTCTCTACAAAAAAATTTAAAAATTAGCCAGGCGTGGTGGCGCAGCTGTAGTCCCAGCTACTTGGGAGACAGATGGGAGGATTACGTGAGCCCAGGAGGCTGCAGTGAGCTGTGATCATGCCGCTGTACTCCAGACTGGGCAATAGAGCAAGACCCTGTCTCAAACACAAAAAAAAATGCAAGAGTGGCGATCACCTTCAGAAAGAGGAAAAAACAAGCTCACGTAGTTTATTCCAGGGTCGTATCTGTGGACCTGAAAGTCATTTCTCTGTGTCCTGTCTGCTTACCCCTCTCTTTGTCCCCGAGATAGTGGCCGGTATGGCAGCCATGGGGCCTGCCCTGGGAGGTGCCTACGTGGACCCGACACCCATCGCCAATCATGTTATCAGCGCGGATGCAATAGAAGGTAACAGCCCGGCTTGGGGGATCCTTCCTGTCACATTTTACAGGACTCATTTCGCCTGCAGGTTCACACCCACTCTGGAGGGGTGGCACCCCTTGCATACTGGCTTCCAGGGCTCCATTGGACAGGGATTATTGCAGCCATGGGCACCTGCCATGGGGAGAGAAAAGGTGTGGATGCCCTTGAACCTTCTGTCTCTTGCAGAGGGACACCAATGTCCCATAAAACAAGAGGGTGAAGAGTGCTGCTTGTGTGCCCTGCACCCCAACAAGGCCACTTTTTTTGTTCGTTTTGAGACAGAGTTTTGTTCTGTTGCCCAGGCTGGAGTGCAGTGGCGTGATCTCCACTCACTGTGACCTCCACCTCCCGGGTTCAAGTGAATCTCCTGCCTCAGCCTCCCGAGTAGCTGGGATTACAGGCACCCGCCACCACGCCTGGCTGGTTTTTGTATTTTTAGTAGAGACAGGGTTTCACCATGTTGGCCAGGCTGGTCTCGAACTCCTGACCTCAAATGATCTGCCCACCTCAGTCTCCCAAAGTTCTGGGATTACAGGCATGAGCCACCCCACCTGGCACAAGGCCACTTTTGTGTGTTCTCCTTGGTGGCATTACATCAATAAGCCATAGTTTATTGCCCCTGAAGACATTTATTGGACTGATACTGAGTTGCACAGCCTGGGTAGACATGCCCCTTGCCTCCTGGGTTGAGTCTGTGTGGCCCTCAGAAAGGCTCCAGTCCAGCCTGAGGCATGAGGAAGGAGCCCCAACAGCCAACTTAGAGAATTTAGTCTTTGCCGAGTCCAGTGGAGCCACCAAAAGCTTATGATACACGTATGAGTCCATCTGGTACCTACTATTTTTTTCCCTTTTCAATTTTAATTTTTTTTTTTTGAGGCGGAGTCTTGATCTGTCAACCCAGGCTGGAGTGCAGTGGTGTGATCTTGGCTCACTGCAACCTCAGTCTTCCCGGTTCAAGCGATTCTCCTGCCTCAGCCTCCCAAGTAGCTGGGACTACAGGTGCCCGCCACCATGCCTGGCTAATTTTTTTTGTATTTTTAGCAACCGGCACTGCCTGCCGCCACCACGGACGTCACACCTGGACTCTGATTGTGGTTTGTCCCTCACTCCGCCTGCCGAACCCACCACGGAAGCACCACCTCGGATGCGGATGTGTGTGTGGTGTGTCCCTCACCCCGCACGCCTGCCCCCCACGGAACGTCACACCTGAGCTGATGGTGTGTGTGTGTCCCTCACTCCGGCCTGCCTGCCCCACCACGGAAGTCAGCACCTGATGCGATTGGTGTGTGCTGTCCCTCACTCCGGCACTGGCCTCCCACCACCGCAAGTCACACTGGATGCTGATTGTGTGTGTGGTGTCGCCGTCATCCCGGCACCGGCTGCCCACCCAGAATGTCACACCTGTGATGCTGATTGTGGGTGTGTGTGTGTGTATGGTGTCCCTCATCCGGCACCGCCTGCCCACCACAGATAATGTCACAACCTGGATGCTCATTTTGTGTGTGGTCCTCATCCCGCACTGCCTGCCCCACCACGGCGAACGTCAACACTTGGACACTGATGAGACTCTGCTGTGGGTGTGTGTGTGCACACTCGAGTACACAGGACGGAGTACCTCTTGTCGTCAGTGTCACATCAAGCTCCACCTGCTGGTGCTCAACAGGCTCCTTGTTCACCTCCTCCACGCGCGCTCCTCCATGGTCCAGCGCGGGCAGGTCTGTGGCGCCTAATGTAGCTGCGGCTCAGGCAGAGCGACAGGACCCCGTCACCACATCGTCACCTCACGCACTCTCGAGACAGGTGCTGGAGGAGGGAGTGGAGCCCGCACCTGTCCGTACAAAACCACAGGATGTATGTGACAGGTTGGCACACGGGGCTGTGGAACAACTAAGAGGGAATGGGGGACACCCAGGTCACCCCTGGCCGAGTGGGGAGCCCTGACAGGAACAAGGGGCAGGGGTGCCCTGTGGGTGCCCTTGGAGCGGCTGAGATCAGGCGGAGAGAGCGCCTGGAGCGGCAGCTGGGAGGCTAATGTGGGCTGCAGCCCAGCGTGGTCACAGTCAGCGGCCTTCTGCCTGCCATCGGATTGGCTGATGGAGCGGCCCAAACAGAAGGGCATGAGTTTCAAAGGCCCCCACAGGGTGCACCATCGAGCCCCAGGCTGAGACTGTGAACGACGCCAATGGGACTCACAGGCCGCCCCTCTCTCAGCAGATACAACCGAGCAGGGAAACGAGAGGCCTGGCAATGCAGGGCGGCGACCCCGAGGCCATTGCGGACGAAACGCCCCAGGGCCCTGCTTGCAGAGCGCAGCATCGCTTTCATGGGCCCTACCCTCGCACGGATCCGCCACCAGCTCCAAAATGCTGAGAACCTGGCTTCACTGCTCTAGACTTAAGAGGCTCAAAGGACACATCAGGTAGGTATAGGACTTTGGATCTGGATTACAAAATTGGAACAAAACCACACCAAAATGCCAGACAAGCAGAAATCTCAACACTGCGAAGTTCACCTTGATAGCTTCGTAAACGCTTTGGGTTCTGTCGTAATTATCATCGCTTATGGTTGTTATTGAGACAGAGTCTCGCTATGTCGCCTCACTACACGGCCTCAAGCCTCCCCAGGCTCAGTGATCCTCCCACCTCAGCCTCCCAACGAGAGCCTGAATGCGCAGGCCACACCATCACCAACTATGTCGGCTAGTGTTTTTGCGTTACATTATTTTGTAAAGAGATGGACGTCTTGCTATGTTGGGCCCAGGGCTGGTCCACGAAAACTCCTGGGTTCAAGCGACCCGCACCCTGCCTCAGCCTTCCACAAAGTGGCTGCTGACTACAGGGGTGAGCGCCCAATGGCCTGCCTTGAGACATCACTATGTTTAGAAAGAAACGCATTGAAAAAATTTGTTATACTAAAATGGTTTAAAGCAGGGGCGCGGTGGGCTCACGGCCTATAATCCCAGCGGCACTTGGAGGCTGAGGCGGCGGGCG